GAATGTATATTGAAGTGGCTTGAACAGGGCTGAATTTAGACATTATTCTAGACAAAAATGTCCTTTGTGTATGCTCCGCCTTTGCATCACGCTATTATCATAATGCAAAATACTAGCATGTGCTATTTAAAGCGTGTCTAAACTCTCAAACAAGTGTATTTTTATATTGTAGCTTTCCAGTCCTTAGTTGTTAAACTTGCATTTGATTTTTAGGCATTCATTTGCACATGGCAAACACAATCCCTGTCCCCCTGTGTCTATGGAGGAGCCATGGTTGTCACACAGGGTGGACTTTAAACATGTCTGCCTTTGTTTATCTCCATTGCATAGGGAGTGATGACATTCATAGTTTACACAACAAAGAAGATTATGTTTGCTTCCAGTTCATCTCACATGAAGTGACAATGATATAGCATTTCTGGCAAGATCAACAGGTATTTTCTATACTTGCTACAAATGTGCTTAGCCTGAAAAACAAAACAATTGCAACCACCGCATCTAAGGACTCGTAAGCTGCAATGTATTACATTTTTATTCTTAGGGTTATTTATACTTCAAGAAAGCATGCTTTCTGCTTTATAGGTAGATGCACTTACTAAAGGTACAAGCCAGCAAGCAAGGAAAAGAGAGATGTTTTCCTGTTTCTTAAACTATAGTGATTTTTCTCAACAGCCATTGTACTCAACAGTCGTTGTATAGACTTTTCCTACTTTTTTCTTGGTGAATTTAGCCACAAATGTTCAGATATGGCCAAGAGAGGGAAACTATTATTACAGATTGTACATCTCAAGGCACCTTTATCTTGGGAAATGTGTGTGGGACTGAAGTATGCTCTTTAAGAGGCTTACTCATAATGGGTTCAACGTGTTTCGGAGAACTACATCAGGTCTTACTAGATTTGAGCTACTATTGCAGTTTTTTTGTAATATGACAGGTGTCTGTTGTAAACTCAACCTGTATCAGTAATCTTAATGCAGAACAGCTCAATTAGTTATAACAATACACAAGCCAACTACCATGTCATGGTGCAGACGTAGTTCTCTGAAAGCATTCTGCTAATGTATTGAATAAACCTCATAAACTTCTTATAGTAATATATTACTCATTGTACTCATTTATACTAATGAGTACAATGTGTGCCTTGACCTTTTGGGGCTTTCTAAAGCACACAGTGGCTTAGTGTTTTAGTAATTAGCACCGCTTCCTTGCAACACTGGGGTCATCAGTTTGAATCCTAGCCAGGCCACTATTTGCATGTTCTCCCTGTTCTTCTTTGGGTTGCCTCCAGGTATCTGGTTTCTTCCACACATTTCAAAGACCTTCTGGTAGATTAACTGGCTTCTGTCTAAGTTGGCCCCACTATGTGTGCAACTGAAATAGGGACCTTAGATTGTAAGCTCCTCGAGGGTAGGTACTGACGTAAATGGATAGTATAAAGCACAGCTGCTCAAATTGTTGATGCTCTATAAATACCTATAATAAGTAAATACACTGGTCCGCCATAGGGAATAAGGCACTCACAGTCTTTAATTTTTTGTATCATTAAGATTTACAAAAATACTATTTTTTTGAGCAGGGGGGCTACAACAAGCTACCCTAGAACCAGAAGGTTATACAATTTTCCTTCATGCCTTTAGATTAACATCCAGTGATCCCATTTTTTTTCCCTCTCTCCTTAGTATTTATGACAAGATCTAAGAACATCCATAGCTATCTGAACATCAGATGTTTGAATACTTTTGAAGCTGCTCATACACACACAGATGCTCTTCTACCATGTAAACAATTTTCTTGAATTCTGGGAGTATGACAATAACTGAAAGAAAGAACACAGTCTTGTTTTTTTTTAATTCAATGCTAGGTGTCTAGAAAGATGCTAATATGAACCCTGTTGCAGCCTTCCATTCATTATCAGGGGAATACGTCTTCTATGCTTCTTTTTCTCATTGATCTACAAAATAATGGGCATGCAACTTGTGCACAGGAACCCACTGGTTTGCAATTGACATGCACAATTTTTTCAGCTCAGCGCATCACAATGCACAGTAATATATTACTGTGCAATACAGTGTGATGCAATGCATGTGCATTCCTATTGCGTTGGGGCCATTAAAAAGTAAAACACAATGCACTAGCACATGCATAGTGCATTGCTGCATGTTAATGCAGCACATAGGTTAGAATGGGCCCTTAAAGATCTGTATATATTACACTTTCATGTCCTCGTTAGAGGCTTTAGAATATATTATATGTTATAATTTTGGTTTAACGACAAAGTATGGAACGTTCGGATTAACTTTTTTAAAGAAGTTTCATATACTGTATACAATTTTACTTACCTTTTTGTTTTTCGTTGTTTTATAAATGTATACAATGAGGATTTTAAAATTTAGTAGGAATCTTTCTAACCATATTACATTTCTGTGCACCTATAACTGTTTTGTTTAGGTTTTTTTCTATGTATATTGGTTTGCTAAAGACTGATAATGTCCTTTTAATTTTCTTCAGTTTTATTTAGAAAATATAACCTTCACGGGTACATCTGTACTGTGTGGTTTATTGGTGATGAAAAAAGTGTGATAGCCTGCTCCAAAACCTAGAGTAAAATACATGAGCAGGGTTGTGGCAGCAAAAGGGTTAATAGGAAACTGACGTGAGAATAGAGCTGTCTATACACCTATAGATTATCTGCAGATTTTCTTTGGTCAGATGGAAAAAGTGCAACAGATTCCTCCATTGCTATCCAGTCTACCCTGCTGGCTCTCAAAACACCTGAACAATGCCTGCATCCAGTCAGATTGTTCAGGTATTTTGACAGCCAGCGTGGCCGACTGGCAAGATACTCAAGCTTGGCCCAGCAGGAGATTCCTCCATGCACACAGTGTAGCGTAGATGGAGGAATCTGTTGCACTTTTTCCCATCTGACCATAGAAAATCTGCAGATAATCCTAGATAATTAAGTCATTGGTTCTGCACTGCAAGCTTTTACATTTAGAAAGTAAGCACACATTGTATAATAACCCATGCAGCAGAAATTGGAAGATATCTATGATCCATGGATTGATTCACTAACTGGAAAATACAGGTGAACTTTGTGAATTATATTAATGACTGATGGATAAATATGAGAAATTGCATGTTTATTTGACTAAGCTCTGCTGCTTAACCAGTTGACATCCGCGGTGTTAAACCCCCTTCCCATCCAGGCCATTTTTCAGTATTCAGCGCTGCGGTACTTTGACTGACATTTATTCCGTCATGCAGCGCTGTACTGAAATTAATTTTATACCCTTTTTTGGGGACAGATAGAGCTTTCTTTTGGTGGTATTTATTCACCACTGAGTTGAGGACTTGGCTGTGCTCACTGCAGGGGTGCCTGGTTCACAAGAATGGCTGCACAGAATGTTGTTGCGGTGTTCTGTATGACCTGATAGTTTGAACATTTCTTTTTTAACTATCCAGGTCAGATTTTGAAAATCTAGAAAAGATCTGTCTGCTCCACAGTTGAAATGAACGAGGCACAGTTTTGTGACATGAAACGCTAAAGATGATTATACATTTGTCCCCAGCTGCATTTCCATCTGAAATGTTACAGTAAAGGAGATGCTAATGGTAAACCAATATGACCTAATCTCCCATAGCTGTGCGGTGAGCCACATCAATGTGAGTACAAGGCACCTCATCAATAATAAAGCAGTTTGTTTGTTTGGGTTGGTAATTGTGGGTCTGACAAATGGTGGTCACACACAGTCTGGTTCTGGCCCAATTCAAGCGTCACTTGAAACTGTTAGCCAGAAAATGCACTATGTAGGCCTTCCCTTCGGGGTTAAAGTCAAATGTTTCGTCAATGAAAGGGCCTTATCAAATTTAGAGATTTTCCACCCTCTTTCTGTCTATTTTCTACTGTATCATTTTCAGAATGTTCAGTAAATACTGACTGCTTTAATAAGAGATAAATCTATGTGTGGATGTAGAGAGAGACTGTGGTTGGTCTATATCATATGTCATTGTCACAGCCACAAAGAAGATTGGTGTGCCCTGTTGGTGCAGTGGTAACCATAAGAGCAGTCAGAGGCCTCATTGTCCACTATCTTTATATAGACATTTGTCCATTCATTGTAACATTGTAGATCAGATATTTTTAAAGCAAAATTCCAGCCTTATAAAAATACTTCATATTTTACCTCCAGCTAAAGTGTCACATAGCTCGAATTGAACTTTAATGGAAGCACTTAATAAGTTTATTCAGTCTTTCCTCCCATGTGCGGAGTGCTTCTTTCAAATGATACAAGCTGGAAAAATGGCTTCCTTCAGGATTGTGTAGCATCAGTGTCTGGCTTACAAAGGGTGCCTGCAGCATGAGTGCCTGGCTTACAAAGCGATGCCTGGCCTACAAACCCCGTCCTCCCTTTTTTAAAAGTGCCTACTCTCTGCAGAGTTCCAACATTCCCCCTGCTGAGTCAGAGCTCTCTAATCCGCAGTGAGTTTGAACTTTTAGCCATTGGCATCCATTAGACCTAACTCAGAAGGGGGCATGTCAGATCTCTGCAGAGACATTACTCTTTCCACACAGAAACCAATGGTCCTCTGGGCAGCATGCTGCCAAGGGACAGGCTATTCTACTCAGTTTTGTATGGTTATTTTTTCATAGGCTTTTGGGTACATTGCATGTTTAAAAGCAACAGTTTTTCAAGGCATGTAAGAAGTAACTTTGTCACTCAAAAAGGTTTGTTGGTTTATTTTGGCTTGTATCTCATTAATGAAATGTGAATATTACAAGTAGGTCTGCTTTGTAGGTATTCACAAGTATATATGTCTTACATTTTGACTAATAGGATCACTATAGCATGAGTCGATTGTTCAGCATTATCTTGGAGCACAATATGCCAGGTGATAATAAAGCTGAAGCAACTCATGCTCCTGTTATTTATTTTCTCTTCTGTCATCTTTACATAATCTTTTAACACATCTGATGATTTTCTGTTTTCTTTGTGTTTCAGAATGAGAAGACTCTGGGGCGCTCGGTCAGCCGTTCCAGTAATATTTCCAAGGTAAAGTTAACACTGCCGTATTTCAACACAAAATTTGGCAATAAAGTTTGGCTGTAATTGCAGGAGGGCAGATTGTGGTCAAATATGCGGTGAAATTTGTAAAATGTATTATTTGAAGATTTTAAGTCTAAATGCAGTCAATAGATGAGTGAAGAAGCGTCAGATTGTATTGCTGTTTCGCTATTGGAGAGTTTCCACTTACTTTTTGGGCCTCTGACCACACAAAAAGTTAGGGTGAAATCTCTCTAGTGGTGACGCAGTCAGCAATAAAAAAGCAGAGGTTCTACCCTTCCCCACTATACAAAAAAAATGTAAAAAATGATTTTCATTGTCTGTGTTGGACAATATTTCCCTTATGTCTTATCTTTGTGACCATAGTCGTGTATGAAGGAAGGGAAAATCTTAACGGGTCTCTGCAACAAACATCTGACGGAGGACTTTTAAATGACACTAAAAATGTGTTTCTCTTTTTATTTCATTTGCCTACAGTTTTCCTTCAGAGAAACGGTTGTCCAAGTTATTGAAGTAACCTAGAAGGAAAGCATTTCTTCTGCTAAATTGTTGCTATTTTCAGTCCTGTTCTCTTGCCAACCACACGCCATTATTGTGTGAGTGATGTCAACCTTCACCTACTGCAGTCACAACAATGTCCTTGACCAAATCTGTGTTTTAAGCAAAAAGTACCGGCTTTTTTTCCCCAGGAAATCTGAATGAATATGTAACACTTAATACATTTATAGGTTCACTTTATAATCAAGGATAACTAGAAGATAACTGAACGTTTTTCGGCATGCCTTAGCCAGGTCATTGAGACAAACATTATACTTAAACTAAACCTGCCATTAAAAAAAATGCATGGGCTACCATTGGTCATCTTTTTTTTTTTTTAAATGTTAGTTGCCTGGCCATTAGGCTTGTACACTGGCTTCAGTATTTTTGGAGTCAGCTGAAACAAGATATATACTGGTTTTAGGCACTGGAAGGTCAGCACAGAGATCCTGGGGCAGAAAGCAATAGCCTTACCAAAGGAACCCCTACAAAAACCCTCCCTGTATACCTAAAGGAGAATTATGGGGTGAGTGAAAAACACTCATCCACATAATTAAATCCGACTTGTGAAGCTGTCACAGGTTGGCTCTATTGATCGGGAAGTCAGCGAACACATACCACCGATCGCTGACATCCCGATCCTCTTCCTGCAGAGAGCTGTCAGTCACCTCTCCCTGCAGATATCCCCCCCTCCCCTCTCCGTTTCTCTAGCGCTGACTGGAGGAACAGACAGGGGAGTGGGCGGGCACAGTTGGCTCTGCTTCCCGAGAGGCAGAGCCAGCTGTCAATCAGCCAGGAGGGTGGATCTCAACAGTATTGTCATGATCCATCTCCATGCGGCTCTGCGCTCCTAAGCATATAGCGGGCAATAGCCTGCTATATACTGAGTTTTGGGTCACCAGAGGACATTAGTATATGTCCACCTGTAACCCTGAAGAGAACTATAGCCAAGAAGGGTGAGTCCATCCATCCCTTTTTCTATTTAGAGTTCATTTACAGTGACAGGTTCTATTTACAGTGACAGGTTCTCTTGCTAACCTCCATATGCCACCCCCTGCTACCCCACTGCTCCCATTTGCCATTGAACATACTTGGTGCTTCTAGTTTTGGAGAAGCATGTGACCAACTCCGTTTTCTTTATACAATGCTGAGGCCTGAGCAGCCAGTTGCCACATTTATATGAGGGAGAGAAGTAGGATATTAACCCAGTGTAAGCTTTTAAAGTTGTCCAACACAGAGCTTATACAGGGATTAGACCCATGGCTTCAACAAGGATATGACGTGGCGGGGGAACATAACGGAGGTGAGTTTCAACGGATGGGGGGGTTATGGGCTTGCAAGAAAACTTTGCACGTTGCTGTCAATATGCAAAGTGGCAGATTATCTTTAACGAATGATTTGCAGCTTTATTGAATCCACAACTCCTGTTACAGCTGTGGTATGGGGATGATGCAAAAGTTAAATCCTCCAGAGCACAAAGGGCAGGAAATGCCAGATAGACAGCGTCTGGGTCAATGTTGGCGTGGCCAGTTCCCCCTGTGCTGGAGGATATAAACACTGTGCTGATACCTTCTCTTTATGCTTGTTCCAAGCCAGTCACTAACTAGGTAGTGATGATTGCCTTGGAACCTGCACCTGACAGGCTCACTTTAAATCAGAACAGTGGCTGCTGGGCTCATCTTCACTTTCTTGCTCCAGTTTTAGGAAATCATTCCAGTAGTATTTCACGTGTAAAATAGTGATAAAAATCTATATATTTTAATATATATTTTGTATGTATTTCATTGCCAGCCTGCAGTCATGCATTGTGAACTTGAATGTCTTCAAGGACACAGTCACGACTTCTACAGCCCTCTTGCTTGTTTGGAATTGTGTGACACAGCTCTTCAGTTTATATATTTCCAGTATATCTGCCATAAATTATCAGCATAAATGGACAGTAATAGCCGGTCAGCCACATACATGACTAAACAAATACAGAGTTTGAGTTAACTGGTACAGGGCCACATTGTTCTGAAGGCAATTAAGTGTGTCCTTTTCCTCTGTGGAGCAATTAAACCTCAGCATCTCATTAGAGCTTACACACAATACAGCACCATGGGAATGGCAAGCAATGACACAAAGGATGAAAACATTTTGGCTGAAAAGATTGGCGGTACAGTACAAAGTGTTGCAGTGTATGTACTTCCAAGAGTAATGCATCTCTTGGTAGAATGAGCACTGTGATCATACTACAGGGCCATATCTGGGGTGCCAGCAAATTTAGTTAAAGGCAAATTCTTAATAATGCACTGTTCTTCTTGAAAGAAAAAAGTGCATTTATTATTATTTTTTTCATTGGAGCCAGTAAAGCATTGCAAACATGATCAATGGATCACGGATGCAATGTTTTGGCTCCTGCACTCTTTCCCACGTTCATGTCTGTACCTTGGTACAGACGTTCAGCAACATGGACAGGAAGAAGATTGAATGGACTACATGTGGGGTGATGTCACCACACCTGTATTCCGTTGAGCCGTACAAGACCTTCTGCCGTGGTAGCTGATAGGACTTAGTTTCTCCATTCATTGATCCTGCCCTCAACCCCCTGGGGGTGGGGTGGGTGAGATGTGACCATAAATATGGGTGTAACCTGAAACGTGGTCAGAACAGTAAACAGCATGTACTGACATTCAAATTCGAAATCCAGTACAACTTTCTAGTTGTAAAAAGTTATCACTTTAGTGTAAGGAGTATTATAAAAATTACAATAGATATTGTAAACGTCTATATTTTATTAGTGAAGGACTAAATAGGACAAGTGTCCTTTTGTGTGTTTGTAGTTTACAGGAATGCTACAAGAAATCTAAGGCCTGATCTATGCTTGGCCGTACACAAAATACATCCTGTGATGACTCTGGGGCCATGTGTCTTGTGAATAGTCAATCATAGTCGGAGGACGATGAGGGAGACACAACTCCAGCACTATGCTCTATGATACACGCAGCGGTGATGTACAAAATTCTTTCAACATTTTCTATGAAATAAGACATTAACATACTGCATGGCAGCGGTAAACACTTCTCTAAAACTCTGACTAGGATGGTGCCGAACTAGTTCATACAAGACTTTTTCTGTTTTGGTTTTGGACAGAATTGGGAAAGGTTAGAACCCCTATCAGGATTTGATTGCTGTTTTGTAAGCATTACAGATTTTAGTTTTTACTTCCTCACCAAGATAGGAATAAACAAAATCACTCAAAGGGGTGTACATATGATGATAAAACATTTGTGAGATATAGAGCAGTGTTAATTTAGTCTACTAAAATGTTTCGTCATACTTTGTCTTCTGCATGTTTTCACCTATGAAAACTAAATAAAAAAACTAAGTTAATAGGAGGAAAACTATGACGAAAATACATTGCAGTTTTCTCTGCTGGAGATTTAGTCAACAAAACTAAAACAATTCAGATGACTAAAAATACGCATGTTATTTTTAGGCTAGGTTCACACCTAGGCGACTCCTCATCGTACAGCAGGAGTCGCCAAGGTGTGACCTGATCAACCTGTGGGTGCCATTATTTTCTAATGGGACCCCAGTCGCGCCGGGCAGATCGCACGGTATTCCGCCCGTGCATTGTGCAGTACCACACGACACCTTAGTCACATTTTAGTCATCTGAATTGTTTTAGTTTTAGTTTGGTTTTGTCTACTAAATCTCCAGTAGAGACAATTGCAATGTATTTATATCATAGTTTTCCTCCAATTAACTTCGATTTATTTAGTTTTCATCAGTGAAAACATGCAGATAACAAAAACTATGAGAAAACATTTTAGTTGACTAAATTAACACTGATATCGAGAACACAAAAGTCATAAGGTACTAGCACTAAACTTTATGAAGGACCCAACACATCACAAGTAGCCAGGTTTGTTGAGTTGAAATTTAAAAAACAAAATGAAAGGAAATGCATATTTATGTCCCATGCTTCTCATCTCAATCTAGTGGCCATAACCTATCACTGCCATTTTTCCCTCTCCACATACATGCATTGATTCCTTTCCCAGCTTAACAGTGTTGTTTCCTTGACCACCAATAGCCTTTCCATATGATGTGTGCAGGGAAAAGGCTTGTATTTATGGGTGGGCCTCCCTACATCAATAGGAACTCTCATAGGGCACCTTACTGATCTCTTCACCCAGCAGCTGCCCCTGTAGATGTTGGAGTAATTGATGCCATATCTTGCTACA